CCTTGAGAACAAGTGAGAGAGAAGCATGTGTGGACTTTTCCAGCCTCTATGCACTTAAGAGCCTGAAGGCCAGCTATTTAAGGGGCTCAGGAAACTCCAAGGCTCTGCTGATTTGGTTATTTCTTATGGTTTCATTGAATTCATTCTTTGACAATTCCCTACATGTACACAGTGCATTCTGATAACTGTAGCTCAATTACACTCTCTCTAAAAGTTACCATCTTCCCTAAAAGTCCTTTTCCCATATCCATGTCTTTTTTGTTTATTTTTTAATTTTTAGAGCAGGTGTGTGTATTGTGTATGTCATGTGGTATAGGTATGGCTGTGTGGCGCTATGTGTATGACATATGCCTATATGTTCTATGCAAGTATATGTGCCTATCTACTCATGAAGGCCACAGGGAGATGCTGATGTTTTCCTTTATCACTCTCAGTCTTATTTCTTTGAGACATGAACTTTCATTGGACCTGGAGCTTGCTGCCTCGGCCACAATGGTGACTGGCAAGTCCCAGTCATTCTCCTGTCTCTGCCCCACCAGCCTGTGATTACAGGTATTCGTGGGCATTTTTAATTTTTTATGTAGGTACTAGGTATTGAACTCAGGTCCTCAGGCTTGTACAGCAAGAATGCTTGCCTGGTAAGCAATTTTCCCAGCTCCAAGACTCTGCCTTTCTAGTGTGTCCTTAGGTGGTGCTAATTCAATGGATCCATGGACCACCTTTGAGTACTGAGGGATTTTTCTTTACACTGTGCAGAATGGAAGGATATTCTTACTATCAATCTCCTGCAAATGTCCTTGGACAAGATGGTAATTTCTGTTTTGTGGGGCTCTTGTTCCATGTCTCATCTTCCTACAAACAATAAGCACTAGTCATTGTCATCGTGCCACCCCTTGCAAAGGATGCGCTTGAGGTCATCAGTCGTGTTTCTGAAACTGGATGTTTAAAAGCATCTGACATCAAGATGACCTATATTTGAATTTTGGCTTGCCAAGCTTTAGAGCTATTCAGGGTTGAAGGAGTTAACCTATAAACACCATTTCATCAGCTGTGCAGGCAAATGAGGGCAACATTCAATTAATATTAACTCTGGTGTAATTGGTTATGAAATAGCCAAGATGTTAGAAGTCATGAGTTGCATGTGCATAGGCATTATCTTTCTCTCCCCTAGAAGGGTTTTGTTGTTTGTATGCTCTATATGGTGTTTAAATAATGCCGAGATAGTTGCCAACATTTAAAAAATGTAAAACTTTTCATAAAACTCCCAATTTGGGACTTGCATTGAAAAGTCATTATCTTGGGCAAACTTGGCCTAGGCTCCATACATGGTTAACAGCAGCAGAACTAACTGGGGCTGGTGACATTCATGGAATCTGCCTCTCTAGTCTAGTATAACAAGTCCTCTCATATGCCTCTTCCTTTGGGCATCATGCTCTTGGGTTCCTACACTTAGGTTTCTTCTGACTCTAGAATTCTAGTTATTTTGGCTCACATATGTGTAGCAAGGGCTTCTGGGATTCACGGGATAGATTCCAGGATCACCTTTCCAACAATGTTCCTGCAGCTCAAGTGAAGAAAACTCATTCACCTGTTCTTGAGGACAATAGAGACATTGTCTTTATTGTTCTCAACAGTTTCTGTCGGCATCAGAACCTGTTTGCTCTAGAAAATCCCTTCCTTCCACACTGACCACAAGTCATCTCGGTAGCATATCTTTCTTGTTCCCTCCCTGAAGTGTCAGATGCTCAAAACCTTGTCCTTGCAGCTTGGGTAGGTGCATCCCACACCCTGGTGCTGACATCGGTGTGATTTATAAACACTGTTACCTTTCTATTGGACTCTTGCAGTTTTGAGTCTCCAGAGCTGCCTGGGCCTAGTGCCCAAGAACTTCACTTTATGAGTTAATAAAGATGTTAGATGTATGCTGCTGGCCGCTGCCCAAGGTCCTTTTCTGTAGAAAGGGTCACAATGGGAAGGGTGAGCTGCCTTCCTCCCCTCCTCTAATTACCATCTTTCATCTCTACCTTTCACTGTTTAATTCACTGGAGGTGCAATCGCAATGCAGAGAGAAGGCATGGCGTGAGGACAGAGTCTCTAATCCCGAGTTCTCTTCTTCACAGGCCGTCAGTGGACCCCTGACCTTATTGGTGTACTGTAGACACTCCCCATCTGCATAGATGGTTCTCCACTAGTGAGTGAGCCCTGGCGCAAGGGGTCTCAGCGTGTGAAGCGAGTGTTGACTGCAGGTAGCTCACTTTCTTGGATCCATATGGCTCTGTGTGAATTTTGTTTCATTCCTCTACCCTGTTCCTCTAGGCTAAGTGTCTTCAGGAGGTTGGCAGTCATGTGGACAGTGAGAATTAGGATGATCCTGGAACATGTGACTTAGAAGAATATGTATGTGTCAAACTGGTCAGCATCATAGAGAAATTCACTACAAAGTTTGGTTTTGATTGTTGTGACTTAAAAAACTTTGAGATTCCTTCCATCCCCTCTAGGCCACGGGAGTGGCATGACAGGGAATTCCCCGCAGATCTGATGGGTGTGCACTTCTATGAAAAATTAAACTTTCTGTTCCTTAAACTTTACCCACAGCCCAACAGGGGAGCAGGGAACAGTCAAGGTTACCTTTCATTTTCTGGAAGATGGACAGCCTAAGACAATGCATTCATGTGCTCCCTGATCTAAAGCCAAAGGTTTCCTTCTACTGGAAGTTGGGCCTGGGCATCCTGTCTGAGTAGTATGCAGCTGTTTGGCATGCTCTCATTGGGCCCTTCCAATGACTGGCTGGACTGTTGCTCTCAGAGGCTGGAGGCTGACAGGTGAAGAGCCTGTGCAGATTCTTAGATGCCTCTCACGGCCTCAAGAAACTGGTGAGGAGGGAAGGCTCCGGCGTCTGGCTAAGCCCTGTCCCTGCAGAATGCCAGCTCCTTCACACTAGCATGCAGCTTCCCACCTCAAATGTGCACCAGGATCACTGGGGGCCTGTCAATACGGATTCTCAGGTGCTGCCCAGATTCACAAGTCAGAGGTCTGAAACTGAGCCAGAGGTGACACTTTCAACAGGCTCCCCAGGTGAGTGTACTTAACAACCCATCCATCTGTCCCAAGCATGCACTTTAAAAATGCTTGTGGAGAACATTTCTCTTTGCTCAGTTTAAAATGCACTTTAATAGCATCACTGATCATAGTGGAGACATTCCAGAGAGAGAACTACACACCAGGACCCTCCGGGCCAAGCCTTGGAGGAGACAGGATATGAGCTTCATAATCTTTTTGCTGTTTCTTACCCATCAGGCAGGTGAGCAAGAGCCTCATTACCTGGGTTGCCCACTGTGAAGGAGCCCTCCCCTTCCCTCAAATCCCCCCTCCCACCTCCTCCTGATGGCTCAGCTAAACCTGAGTTTTTTTTTAAAGCTTGACCCGAACATGCCTTGATTCCAGGTGGAACCCATTATCACTTAAAACCATCAAATCTGGGCTCTGAAGGGAATTCAGAGATCTATTCCAGAACTATATATATATATATGGATGTATAGGCTAGAAACAGACAAAATGAAAGGATGATAAATTCCTGAATCCACCTTGAAGGAAGAGAAGCAAAATCACTTTCCCCTAGACCAGTGTGGACCAGGCAGAAGTAAGCTCAAGTTCCCTGAGAATCCTTCTAGAGACAGGGGATCCACCATGCCAGCTTGTGTATCTCTGCCACCTCAGAGGGCAGCTTGATTCACATCAGTTACCTCATCTCGTGGGACACTGAGGTATCCCAGCCCCTTATTTGTACATGGTGGGATTTGTCCCTTAAATGTTCAGTGCCGATACCATGCTAGGCTCCGGGCATGCCATGAACAACAAAGATGGAGAAGCTGCCCCAAAGCTTGCTCGAAAATTCTAAACTTGACAAGTTCACATCTGCACTTTTAAAAATCCTTCTCTCATACAATATATCCTGACCGAAGCCCCACCGCCACTCCTCCTAGTATCCCAGTCCACAGCCCCTTCCCCTCAGATCTACTTATCCTCCATTTCTTTTCAGAAAAGAGCAGGCCCCCCCCCAAGGATATCGACCAAACAGCATAACAAGACACAATAAAAGTAAGCACAAACCTTTATAGCATGGCTGGACAAGACAACCCGGTATGAGGAAAAGGGTCCCAAGAGCAGGCAAAAAGTCAGAGATACCTCCACTCCCACAAAAATGCTTCTGTACATTTAATTGCCCGATTTGGGGCCTTGAGAGAAAACTTGTGATTTGGAAGTGATAGATGACACACTTGAGATGGCAGTTGAAGGATAAAGGAACATCTCGAGAGAAATGGGGCATGAAATAGCACATGCAAAGTCCTAAGCCAGAAAGAAATTTGGTCCAGTCTGAGGAACGGAAGGGACCTGAGGGTGGAGAAGAAAACAGAGGTTGGATTATAGGAGGCAGAGTGCGCAGATGGTGGAGGGCCTTTTAGCTGTAGGGAGATGATCGGACTTCCATGTTTAAAATCCCTTCTGGTGTGGAGAAGAGAACAGATCCCATGAGGTGAGGGAGGCAGGCAGGGATAGCACTGAGGAGGCAGCAGCGTCATTCAGGCTGGAAACGACAGGGGCTAGAGCCCCGAGGCTGCGTGGGGTAGACAGAAATGGTCCTGGAGAGTACCTGAAGATTTGAGAACTGAGAGTGTCTTCCATGAACACTTTTTAAAGTCTGAGATATGGAAGGGGAGTTCAGCCATTTTCTAGATACGTTTCGGAAGGGTGCAAGTTCTGCACACCTGCACCCCATGGCATGAAGACAAGGTGGCAAGTTCACTGTCAGTGTGATCTGGGCTGCAGATTACTAAAGAGAAACAGACTAAAGAGATCTTTGAATTGCCCCAGCTGGGCAAAGGGACAAGGAAGGACTCGTGTTGGGGGAAGTCCTGTGCAATTGTCAATAAAGACTGTCTGGCCAATAGGAATCTAGATAGGTGGGACTAGGAGTCCAGGAGGACTCTGGGAAGGAGAAACACAGAGAGAGTCAACATGTAACGCCATAGGGTTGGAAGCCCGGAACTATTCTCTGGTAAGAGAAATACTTAGATTAACAATTATGGGGTAATTACTTAAGTCAGAGCTAGCCAGTAAGAAACAAGCAAGGCCAACAGCTTCATAATTAATATAGCCTCCTGTGTGTTTATTTGGGGACTACAAAGCGGCAGAGCCCAGGCAACTGGCGGGAGATAAACCAAAGCGGCTAGCAAAGGAAAAGCTTCTCTTAACAGACTCGGACGACGAGCCAGCCAGAGGTTGGAGCAGGCTGGAGGAAAACTTGTTCAGAAGTTGGCCCTGGGCAAGTGACACCCGGGTGTTCTTTTAGTCAGTGCCTGCTTGCTCCTTTGGTGGCCTTTCTATTGACTTGGCTAGTTTACAGTTATGCAAGGGATGGGGACAGCTTGTAGGTGTCCTTGTCCTGTAGAGATGTGAATAATTTCTGTCCTGTGGGAAAAGAAGCCACAAAAGCCACAAAGCTTATGGTGTATGACCCTGGAAGACATTAGCGAGCTTAGATTTTGACCTGTGGTTTTGTCCTAACTTTTCTTGATTGAGCTGCCGATATTAACAAGGTCTCAAATTTTCTTCAGAAGCAGCTCTAACATTTGACTGTTTCTATCACTAACGTATCAGATAAGACCGATGACATGGATTCCCTTCTAAAAGTCATGCGTTCCATAATGGCTTTTCAATATATAATGGACTAACTGTACTGTGAGGAACATACCAGAAAGCCTAGCTATGTACCAGGCTCTACCATTTAGACCTGGTATACTCTATAATATCTGTACAATAATGAAGTCACTCATGAGACATCTCTGAGAACACAGCCCCACTGTTCTCAGACTCCTGGCTGTATTATGTGCACAAGAGTTGTGATTTGGCTTTTTTGAAAATGGTCTTGAGCCTCTTCCTCTCTCTGAGGCTGTGCAATCTCCTTCTCTCACCAGGTACCTCTTTCCTGGGACCCAGTAAGTCAGCTCCGGCCAGCTTCCCAGCTTGGCAAAGAGAGGGTTCCATCCAGCCCTGCAGTCAGGTTCTGGGACAACTGGGAATGCCCTCCATACATGTGGAAGCAGATGGTATTCAAAGCATGGATAGAAGCGTGGGACCTGAAAAAATCCCTTTAGTTTTCCATCTGCCAGGTTGTCTCAGAGGCCAGAGCTGCCAGCTTCTGGGTCAGAAACTGCGGCTGAGTGGAAATACTTTTACGGCAAGAGCAACCCTGCTTCTTTCCACCCCTGACTGGACTGCAGTTATCCAACCAGCCTGGCACCTTTGCTCACGCCTTTAATGTAGCCATGGGAATCTAGATCTCTGTCCTCAGGGGTTTCCTGAAACATTAGCCTTCGGAGCCTTGCAGAGTTGCCAGGCAGGATGGAAGGCAAACAAAGGTGCCCCTTGACCCACTGAGAGCTGACCTTAAATCCTGACTCTCCCGAGTGTGAAGAGGTCTGAGGGGACAGCCAAGCTGAGGCGAAGGTGCAGCAATCTGCCACTCAGGAAAGGAGTGCGCCCAGAGCGGTTTTCTGTGGCCTTCAGCAGCCTGCGGGCTTGTAAAATAGCTGCAAGGCAGCTGACCACACAGGAGGTGGGAGTAGCCCCCCATATGGCAGAGTTCTGTGTGCAGTAGAGGTAGTTGACAGTTTGGAAGGTGCAGTGACCACATTCAGAAACAGAACCAGGATGGTCTAACTAGCTCCCCAAGGTCTGCAGACCTTCTGCCATGTTTTGCAGAGATCTCAATTTGAACAGTTGGGATGGCAACGAAAGTGCTTCATACGCATAACTCATGTAATCTCCATAGCTACGTATACATTATTATTGTCATCACAGAAAAGAGCCTCAGAAAGGTTAAACTATCAGTCCAAGTTCAAATAGATGGCAAGGGAAAGAGGTAGGACTTGAATTCTGGTCTGTTTGGCTCCCAGGCACTTTACTGCTGTGTTAAACCTATGCTGCCAGGTAAGGTTGTGAGCCTGGTTGTGTGGAAATGGTTTAATAATACAATACAGAGACTGCCAAGTTTTTCCCTCCAGAGGATCAGTTTTGCAGTTGACTTAATGAGAGCAGAATCTCGGGCCTTGTGCACCTTTATGTGCCCTGAAGACCCCAGAAGTGACAGATATGTTGGAGGGGGACAATAAAGGTATTGCGGTTGTGAGCTTTCCTTAGGAAATTCTGTTATGTGTTTGGAATGAATCCATCATCCCAGGGGGCTATATAATGCTCAAAACAGCTTTAGAAATTCTCCCTGAAAATTGCTTTCTGAGCCCCAGGCACAGGAATATATATATATTTTTTTTTCTACAGGTTGTGTTGGAATGCCATAGAATTCCAACCATAGCATTTGGCAGAGAAGGTAAATTGCTGACTCCAACTCTTTGGTTTTGTTCCATACCAAGTTGGCACTGATGTGGAGCAACAAGGCCGAAGGATTTGTGTAATTCGTGGATCCACACAGCAGACAATTCTATACTATGAGGATTTTATTTTTATTTTTGTGTTTTTGCTATAGTAGGAAGTGAACTAGGGTCCTAAGCATGTTGTGCAAATTCTCTCCTGTTCTCATATATACATATATATATATATATATATATACATATATATATATATCCAACACCTTCACCTCCTTTTTTTTTCAACTTTTTATTTGAGGACAGGGTCTCAAGTTGGCCTTGAACTTGTAATATTCTTGTCTCAATTTCCTGCGTAGCTAGGATTACAGACCTGCGCCACTAGGCCTAGCTGGAGGGACTTTTAATGAGGTTTTGAGCAAGGACCCTGGCCAGCCTTACCAGTCTCAACTCATGCTTTCCATGCTCTCTCTCACTGTGTCCCCTGGTGTGACCATTGCACAAAAATACCTACTCTGCTTTCTTTGGTCTACCTTGTCATTCAGGCCCAGGTCAAGTGATACTTCCATAAAAGCTGTGACTCTTGCCTAGTCTTCCTTCCATGGCACCCTAGTCTTTTTCTTTGCAGCTGTAATGACATATCCTAAGCCACCCTGAGCTCCAAGCAACTTTGCCTGCTCTATAGCTCCATTTTTCTTTTAATTGCTACTCCTCCTTCACCATGGCGAAAAATGGTTACTACAACGTGAATATGTTCCCCAAAAGCCCTGTGTTAGAAGCTCAATCCATAAATTCACACATTAATGGTGTTTGGAGTTGGAGCCTTTGGAAGATAATTAGGAGTAAATAGGGCTGTGATAATAGAGCTTCCATGAAGGCATTTGTGGCTTTGTAAGAGGAGGAAGAGAGATCTGAGCTGGGGCACTGAATGTCTCACCGAGTGATGCCCTCCCCGTGTCATGATGAAGCACCAAGGCCATCACCTGATATTGGTGCTATGCTCTTGCTCTTCTAGAACTGTGATTAAAATAAACTTGATAACCTACTTTCTCGGGTGCTTTATTGGAGGAACGGAGATTGGCTAAAGATAACAGATGCTCCATCTGTAGAGTCTAAGTTACTAGTGGACAAAACAAATGGTTCTGTCCCTTTTTCTGAGAACCATGTACCTCTCTGGAGTCTGTTCTGGCTTCTCAGAAGCCTTCACTCTGAATCTTTCTCTGCCTTCTTCCCTCAGTCCATTTCTTTACCTTCTTGGTTCTCCTTGGGTTCTATTTTTAGCTGTACTTTCTTTGCACACCAAATTTTACCTTCGGCCCCTGCACAGAACTCCAGTCAGTATGTCTAGGGATTAATTGGTAATTTCCATACATTTGATCCCCAAGTACATGAAGTTTGTCTCAATGGCCAGCATCATGCTTCCCTCCCACTTTTCTTGAACTTTGTCTTTTTCTAGAGAGTCTCCTAAGAAGGAACTAAAATGTCCTTCTATGCTCAACTTGTCATAAATGGAAATTAATTGTGCTTCTTTAAGGACACCTCTCTCTTTAATTCCCTCCCTAGGCCAGGGAGAAGATTCCAGGGAAGACCGGCAATTCTCAGTTCCATAATGGAAACAAATTCAGACCACACCTCTTCCTGCAGTAGGTCACTGCCACACTGCCTCTCTCCCCTCCTTTCAATTTACTCTTCAGATTTCTAAACGTGTAATAGCAGCCTCCATAGCTTGAGCTCCATCTACCATTTCAGTGTATTTGTTTTGAAAACATGGTCTGTAGATTGCATAATAAATACAGATTCTTGGGTCTTAACCTTGACTTCCTGAATCAGAATCTGTGGTTTGGAGTCAGCCATCTCTGTGGTAATAACTCACAAGGTGAGATGATAAAGCCAAAAGCTGGAGAATTTCCAGGGCCAGCGACAGCAGGTGCATCTGAGAAGTCCAATGCATCTATGCTTCCAAGACTCCACTCATGATTTTCAACACTTGCTTCCACTTTCTGTCCCATCCACTCCACACCTTACTCCTTCTCAAGCTTTTATTCCTTATTCAGGATCCTACCCAGAGGTTAGCTCTCCATGGGACATCCCATGATTCTTCCAACCAGGAAGAACTGATCTCACCTCTAAGCTTTCCCTAGCACACCTCCTTGGACTATTTCAGTGTTTCCTCTTTCTGTCTCGTCAAGTGTTTTTGTGTTTTCCCCACCAGACTATGAGTTCACTGGGATATTTTCATCCCAATATCCATAGCATCACATAGAAAGGGCATTTACTAAACTGATTGGAGTAAGACATTATTTTAGGTGAATTAACAGGAAACAGTGAGGTACATTTTAGAGGTGGCCTCTATAGAGCCAGCAGCAACTGGGTCATCCAACACTGGGGAGCTTGACTTTGGAGACAAGCTCAGAGTAACAGGTACTCACAATTTCTTCTTCAGGTAGACTATTAAGGAAGAACAGAAAACATATTATCAGAAAAGTGATGAGTAGAAAAATTCAGGAGCTTGCTTGCTCCATCTGCTGAAGCTGGCAAAGCAGAGACTGTCAACCCAAACGTCAAAAGCTAGGAATGACAGTTCCTTGGTTTTCTGATCTGTGGATATGGACAAGGACTTGCAGCTGTGAGGCCCTTAGCTCCTATTTGAACGCATTCTTTTCTGATTGTTTTACAATAAACTGTCTCTCCTGAAAACTCCTATGTTGGAGCTCGATCTCCCAGTGACAGTATTTGAAGATAGGACCGTTCAATAGCTTTCGTATCAAAGGAGTTAAGTAAGGTTAAGTGACATCTCAATGGTCAGACCTTTATCCTACATGTCAGGTGTCCTGATTAGAAGAGGAACAGGCATAGGAGAGGCTCTATGAGGACAAGGAAGAGGGCCCAGGAGAGGCAAAGCTTTCAGCCCCCGATAGCTCACTATGTTCATATTGCCCATCCTCCCATCCCCATTCCCATTCATGCAACCTTCATTTTCCATTAATTGGAAAAAATTAAAAATTACCACAGAGTAAACACTGAAGACATCTTGATGGATAATGCCCAATCAGCAATCTGGCAGATTTTATTTCCATGGCAACAGACCTTCCCTTAGAAATCATGGTTCCCTGACTCATATTCCATTAAAGGTCTTAAAATACACATGCCTCTAAATAAACATAAGTGCTTATAATCACCTGTCCCTATCTAATTCTGGACTTTCACTTAGTTAAAAGATGAAAGAGTTTAAATGCATCATTCAACTTTCCCTCACCCAATTTAGGGGATAATTTTCTACTCTTGTCTCTTGTATCCTTCCTCCACCCTAGAAGGTCAAGTCCCAGGAAATCATCTCAGAAGAGGAAACATTCATGTTTTTAGTTCATCTCTTTCAGTGATCGCTGGAAAAGATACGGCACATCACAGAAACTGGAAGAACCATGTTGCTGAATTTTCTTGTCCCACCAGATCACACTGCTTCAACCCCAAAGGAGATGCTATTTTAATTATAAACTGATAGCTGATGACTAGGCCTTCTTATTGGCTAGCTCTGTCTTAATTATTAACCCATTTCTATTAATCTCTGTATTGCCACGATGCTGTGGCTTACCTATAATCCAGCATATTGCTCCTTTGGCACAATAGTGTTCTCTTTCCCGCACTTCTCTGTCTACCTTTCCCAGAATTCTCCTCATCTCCTAGTCTCAGCTATCTTCCTGCCTCTATTGGCCAAACAGCATTTTATTCATCTACCAGTCAGAGAAACATATATACAGAAGGACATCCCCCCTCAGAACCATGCAATACAAATAGAAAATTTTGAGAAAGAAGAAAACATGCAACCCAAGAGAAATCTGATTAATAATTTTATTAATTAATAATTTTAGTCTGGTGCATGCTGGAGGTGGAAATTTCATACTGCCCTACTAAAGCAGGCTAGAGTAACACAGTCAAGTAATAGCGATGGGGATAATTATGATAATTTTAAAGTGTATGCTATATCATCTTATCATATATAGAAGATGTTTGTGAAAATTCCAAAAAATGAACATTACTACTTTTCTTTTACAGAAGAGGATAAACAAAGACCAGAGAAAATAAAGGATTTTCCATAGTCATGCTTAACCAATAAAAGATATCACTGAAGAAAACTGACTCTCCCTTTGCCAGAAGCCATCGAATGCCAATAGCTCCTGGGCTAGGATTTTGTGTCTACTTTCTCCCCTCTGCACTGAGTCCTTGTCTGGATGGAGCTTATGTGGATCTCCATGAGATGGAGCCCATACAAGGCACTGCTAAAGGGTCTGAGAACCTTGTGGCTAGGCAGGTTGTAGTCCCTAGGGAAGAAACAAATCCTATTACCCTGCTGGTGTGATTTTTAAGTCTCCTCTTCTAATGTAATTGACTCCTATGAACCTAGAAGATATGTCTTACTCCTTTACAATGCCAGGTCAAAATTTTCCTCAGGAGAAAGCCAGTAACACACCTGGGACCCATCTAGATGTCATACTGAGGCTAGTCTGCAGAGTTGGGCAATGCTCCTTGGCTACTTCTGAGACAGAGCCTCGGTTCCCCTTGGAGGGGGAACCGCCAGTCCCTTACCCACTGCCTGTCTCTGCCCCAGGGAACCGTCATTCTTCTAGCCTCTTTGCCTCTATGATTCTCCACACAGTTCTTTGAAAACATGATACTGTGATACAGATTTTCCTTCCAGATGCTGCTTGGGAAGTATACAAAAATCTCAGTCAGAGTCAAAAATCTAAAATCTGAAGGGAAATCCATTTTTATCAGCAAAGAAGAAAAACACAGAATAGTATTTTTGCTAATATATTATTATAAAAATTTGCAAACATACAGGGAAGTCGAAAGAACTGTATAGTGTATTGCCCACATGCCCAGTTGCATTTAGCAGCATGGACAAAAACAAAGCTCTTACTTGTGTCATCCACAGATTTCTTTGGTATGAGTGTTCCCACTGTCAATAATTAAAATTCTCACAATGACTTAGGAAAGATACATGCAGCATGTGTGAGCAAACTCAGACACACCACCTCATGCAAATATGACTTACATTCAACATTTTACATGGGAACAGCCCATCTTATTTTGGCACATTTCAATATAAATTTAAAGTGTATGCACAATTATCTTTGAGAGATTCAGCATGCATACTAACCAGAGTTCACTGTCTGGAGAGTTTTTTGATATAAACATGAAATTTCAGTGAGTTGTATATGTGTTAAAATTTGACAAATTCATACATTTGTGTAATTCCACCTTTAGTGAGATATGGAAGAACAGCTTCACCATAGAAATTTCTCTTAATGTTTGACTAATGACCACCTTTAGGATTTTTGGCTGTAAGAAATTCTAAAGCAAGGCTGATATTTGATGGAGTACTCTACTTTAAATGTGTGTTGTTATGCTGACTCCAATTTAGACCCACCATAATGAATGATCAGAAATCTGTTAGCTTTAAAATAGATACAGGTCTAGAACTGAACACTCCAGGACCCATTCTGTATACACCCATGCTGAGTCATGTTCAAAAGCCATCAAGACTTCAAACATGAACTAAGCCCACAGTCCCCAGGAAGCAAAGGGCTGAAGAAGCAGCCTCAGTCTCCTCCCCACTGACTGCCTCCAGCTCTGGTTTCCATGCAAAGTCTATGTGAATCATTCTTATGATATCCTATGACATAGTTGTCATCCCAAAGATCAAGCTTTTCCCACCTCCCACCCTGCCTGGTTCTGACCACACTTCACTTGGCAATATATGCATTTGGCTTCCACCTGTTATAACTCAAGGAAAAATATCAGTCAACAGTGAAAAACAAACTCCAGAAAAACTCCAAGAAAGAGAGAAAATAATCATTTGCCTTCAATTATGGGGCAATTTTAGACTCAAGTAGTGAGAAACACTGGACAGTGTTTCCAGTGCTAAACCACAAAACTGTATTCCAGATGAAGGAGAGCAAATGAAAACCTTTTGCCTGAAGGGCTGAAATGGGAAACATTTTCAAAATCATTTGATATATGTGGGATATTA